CAGCGGCAGCGGCGGCGCGTCCGAGGGTAGGGTAGGGGAGGGTAGGATTGGGAGGGGGGAGGGAGGGAGGGAGGCAGAGGCGTAAGGAGTAAACTTAATCGCACGTCGTTGGTGTGGTGCCTGGCTGCGCGAGTGGTTCGTGCAGTTGTGCTTGGAAAAGTTCGAAAAGAGGCAGAGCGAGTGGAAACGTCAGCGCGTGATTGAAGCTGCGGTCCACGAGTCCTCCGGGCATCAGCGACACTTGTCGCGTCGAGCATCCAGATCCTCGGGAAAGTTAGCCTTGCGCGTCCTCGGCCGCAGCCCCGTCACTTGCGCGGACATCCCATCGTCGGCTCGGTCGATTCGAAGCCGCGGACATCTCGTCGTCCCTTAACCTCGCGCGCTCTAGGGGCCGGAGCTCGTGCCACCGATCGGGCGCAGTTGGTGGTGTCGGTGTGTCGTCGGTGTTGGGATCTCGGGGCGGCCGACCGAGCCCGTGCATCTTCTCGAGGAGGAGCGGCACTTTCGAGGACACGGCTTTAATGTACGTATCCAGCGTCAGAGGCAACGATGAAGCTCACCCAGAGGTGCTTCGGCAACATCGCCAAAATGCTCGACTTCTACTCGCAGTTCAACCCCTCGCCCCTTTCGATCAAGCAGTTCATCGACTTTGGTGAGTCCCCTCCTTCTTCATCGCCGCGGCTTCGTACCCCCCCCCCTCCCCCCTCCCCCCACCTCCCCCGCCCACCCGCGGGGATAACAGTGGGCTCCCCGCAGTTAGAGCGCTCGCAGCACCTCGGCGCCAATATCTCGCGCGATCGCTCGAAGAGTTCGTTAGGCTCCACCTCGTCTGCTAACTTTTCTCCTTTCTCCTGCCAACACACGTACGTCACACAGTACGAGTCCTCCTCCGCGCAACAATTCCCGACACCCCGTAATACAAACATTCGCGCTCTTTATTCCATTCCATTTGATAAATTCATCCATTGATTATCATCGGTTTGGGACAGCTTCCATCCCTCCCTCCCTACCTCACTCATCCATCTAGTCTCGCACGTCCAGGCCATTAATCATCGGCTCGTAATTAGTAGCCTCCGCACCTCCAGTCATCGGTGTAAAACGTCCACATTTCCCGTCTTGTTTCTGCGTAGGATAACGTAGTAACGTTACTTACCAACCCTACCATATTACCAAACTTTTAACGTACAAACATTTCCGTACGTCCGAGTACCTACGCATTATTATCTATCTGTCTATATATATATATATATATATATATATATATATATATACACATATGCATATAATACTCTCGTGGTGAAACAATCATCGTTGTCATATTGTACATTTATTTTGCAAATGTCGTGCGTTGCTTAGTGTCGATAACATTTGTTTATTTGTTATATTTTTTTTTATTAATTTTTTTTTGTTTTTGTTTTTTATTATTATTATTATTAATTTCAGCCACAGTGGAGCCCTTATCGGCTTCTCGTCGAGTCGCGATTCCCCCCATTCGGTCAAACTAATTCGACGCTTTGCCATAAGCGCATTGCGAAACTATGCGCAATGAAAGAATATCTCCGAGAAAATATCGCGCTCTAGAGTGCGTTAGAGAGTTCCGCGTTGCTCGAGAAAGTTGCCTGCCGCGCTTTCCTATCGATTTTACACCTTTAGCAGATTATCGTTTGGGATCGATACTGACTCGTTAATAACGAAATAAACGCACCCGCGTGCGCATTTCCCGACTTTGCCAACATTCTCTTCCTACTACATACGGGTCTGATGCATCTCGCTCGTTCGCTGTTCCTCAAGGCCTTTCCAAACACTCGAGCGACATCGACGAAAACCGAATAATAACAATAATAATAACAATAATAATAACAATAATAATAACAACAATAATAATAATAATAACAACAACAACAACAATAATAATAACAACAACAATAATAATAATAATAATGATAATAATGATAATAATAATAGTAATAGTAATAGTAATAGTAATACCGAAAGCCGAAAACCCGAGTGCGTCGTAACAACGGCCAAACGTGTTTCCTTTCCGCATTATCAGCTCTGCGGCATTCGCAATTTGCACGTAATCCTTCCTAATGCAAAAGCTCAAGGAATCACGCGCCGTTCTTTTTCCTCGTCAGATCGAGAAATGCCTACATAGTAGACGACCACTCGCGAACCGCATCTCCTCCTCCTCGCCCCCCCCCCCCGTTCTCAGCCCTCTCGGCACCACCTCGCCACGTCCGCTACCGCCGCCGCCGCCGCAGCCGCCACGCATAAATATACAATTTGTGTTTGCGTGTGTGTGCGCGCGTTCGGTCGCGCATGACGCGCAATAGCCGAGGAAATCCCGATGGTGCAGACTTGACGCTCGTCGGTCGGGATGCGTTGCCACGTGGCCCATAGGGTTATACCGTAGCGGAGGCGCGGCTTCAGGCTGAATTGATCGGGTTTCGATGTCACGGAATTGGCCCCGGGCCTTGAGATCCGATCGTAAGGAACACGGCTACCGCCACCGCCACCGCCACCGCCACCGCCACCGCCACCGTCGACATCGCGGCCTCGTGATGGCCGCGCGTCGCGACGCTGCGCATCCGCGCCTATGCAAAAGTTAATTAAAGACCTCTGACGCGACTATCCGCCGCATCCGGGTGATCCAATTGCCAGGATTTTTAATAGCTTTCCGGTTAAAAAGAAATGAAAATAATAAAATACGAGGGACACATGCAGAATCTTTACCTTCCAGACTTGTCGGCATTTCGTTATAACTAATTAGCCGCCACTAACGGCTCGGCATTACCCTACGATTTCGTTCTCATGGCCCCTGCAATCCGTCCACGTGTCTTGTTTACTTTTTTGCCGAATGCAGCTACTTTTACTATGTACCTTTCCTCTATTAATAATACGCTCCCATTCACGCGGCTCGCCCGAGCCTCACGACGACGAGTATCGATCCCACACGCTGTTGTTATCTAAAAAATAACGCCAATACACCTGTCATTCAATCACGATTCGCGGACTTTCCCAATGAAAAATTATTGATAAGATTAATTAATTATATCCTTGTATGGGACTGTATTCCTCAGGTCCTTCATTCGTAGCATTAAAAATCAATACGTAATGGAAAGACGCTCGAGCTTGTAGATTTGCAATTGCTGACGCTGCCTAAGCCGGATGAGGCGATAATTTATAATTTCAGCTTTCGGTATTATGATGAATTGTAAGATAAACGTTGATTGAGAGTGAACGGAATTCGCTGCCCTTGATTATAATTGACCTAGCAATTCTTCATTCGCTATTCGTTGGCATTTTGCGCATCGTCAACTTCACTTGACCATCTACGTGCAAATTATTGTATTCCGTTTTATCATGTTTATAATGTTTGGCATTTTGCAAGCTGCTTTCACAATATCAAACAATATGTGCTTCTGTAAGAGGTACTTTCTACCCATACGGTAATCCAGCCATTTCGCATCCTGTGCTCATTGAGATCAGTAAAGATCAAACATGGATCTTTTATTGTTTTGTTGAAAGTATTTGATGACGCGCATTTGTGCTATTTGCGAATAACGCGTGGAAAGGTGAATTTGAATTTTTATATCAATATTGACTCGTATTGCTTAGAAATTCGCATATTCACTTTAAAAGTCTGATAAAAGTAGGAACGATAGGAATCATAATTACATATAATGACTGTCTCATTTATTTAACTATTCAATATCAAATATGACGACATTTTATTTTGTATCGAAAGCTCTGTCAAATATTTCATTACAACGTCATCGCCAAAAATCTCGTACATTATACTGAAACGCCAAGCTTTTGCTTCGATTACAAGTATCGCAAATCTTTGGTATTAACTCCGTCGATTTTCAAATTTAAAAATCATCCTCGCTAAGGCCAAAAAATACAATTGGTCCAATGCAATGTCCTTATAACGTTCGAATTTACAATTAACAATGATGCTAATTTTCAAAATTAACTCACGAAATAAAACAAAAAATTGCACGTAAAATAAATGAAAAAGTTTAAAAATATTTTTTTAAATATTTCTCACTCATTCTGCTTCCTTCAGAATAAAAATTTCATTTTAACCAGTAAAATGAAAGTTTTTTCATTAATTTTTTTGCAAATATTGTAGAAAGTAGTGTACAAATGTATCCTACATATATGCATATATATATATATATATATATATACACGTACATACTATGTATCATCCACTCACACACACATTCTCGTCAATGTATGCGTAAAATTGCTTATTTTTGTAAAATATTCTACTTTTAAAAAATGCATGATGATATAATGATAAACATGTACTCTTCTTTTTCCTTTCGTTTTTTCTCTTCTTCTTCCTCTTCTTTTTTAACCCAATATTGGATTTAAATAAAAATAAAAAATAAAAATAAAAAGTCCAAGCAATTATCGCATACATTGTCCGTAATAAAAATCAATCAATTTTCAACAGCTTTTAATATTACAAAAAAAAAATAAATGCATCCACTTAATAATAACATAAAGCATAATAAATAATCAGCTAATAACGATGTATTGAGAAATGTTTTTTATCAAGTCTGTCGAAAAAAAAAAAAAAAAAAAAAAATGAGTAGTCCATGTTCACAATTCTATTTGTCAATATTAATAGAAAATAATAGTCTCGACTAATTTCATCGATTATCCATAGAAAATTAAGTAACAGCTACTATTAATGATAATAACATTTATATAAAAACTTACGAATGACTTTTGCTCAAACAACAAAGAGCAGCATTTGTAATTGGTATAATGTTTTCAGGTTTGCGGATAAATTATCGCCAAGACCAATAAATCGTCGTTTAACAATTTTGCAATTAATTCACTTACGCATTCCACTGTATATAAACGCTAATACAAAGCCTGAATATATATAATTTCATAAATGACGATTCTTTTTATTATTTGGCTTTTGAAAATTCTCGGGGCCTCGTTAATTTAATATTATGCGCAATTTCTCTCTTTTTATTTCTCTCTTTTTATCCAAGGATTACTCGTGTCGATTGTATCCTAATGATGCGGTTTACATACTTATGTAACGACACTTGATACCAGCAAATGTATACAGATATAATCATAAATTGCGCGAATCAGCTGAAATTTATAGTAGTGTGCTTGGCACATTCCGGCATTAAGATTAATTAAAAGTACAAAACTTGAAAATTAAGCATTCCTTAAAATAATAATAATTAATCTCTATTTAAAGAATAATTTCATACTTTTACTGTAACATTACATTTCAATGTTATTTTAATTATATTCGCTGTTATTTCGCGTTCCTCCTAAATCACAAATAAGTACATTTATCAAAAATATTTTACCGAATTTTAATTTTATTTTACCGACCATTTTAATTTTACAATTGAGCCAGCCTCGGCATTTCTTAATTGACAAAATGCGTCTAGAATTCAACCACCGCCCCGACATTCCAACAATATAAATAACGCATGTCATCATTTATGAGTAATAATTAAACAATATTCATTTAAAATAGCGTAGCAAATTTTCTAGAATACTAAGCAATAAATGTCATACAGATATATATATATATATATATATATATTTATTTCTTTGTCTTTTACGTTTATGAACATGCACGCGTGACATATTGTTCCTCGAAAT